AAACCCAGCCACAAATCAGCAAAATGTGCCATAAATTAAATTTGAGTAGTTGTAAAACTGCAAGTCATAGGCTGTGAGAGGCTGAAAAAAGGGTTGTCATGGTGCTCATAACTGGTGATGAGCACCAGCAGGGTCATGGCTACATAGGCCTGCATGTCAGGGTGGCAAAGATACTTCAAACTGGGGTGAACACTCACCTTTCAGCAGGACCATAACCCAAAGCACAAGACCAAAGCTGCACTGGAGTGGTTTCAGAGTAAGAAAGCAAATGTCCTTGAGTGACCCAGTCAACATCCTGACTTGATTCTTAGTGAGAATCTGTTGAAAACATCGAACTCCACTGTCTATAAGCGATCCCCAAGCAACCTGAGAGAGCTTGAACAAATCTGACAAGATGAATAGGAACAAATTGTACGAGGTTGGAGATTTACCGAGAAAGACTTGCAGCTACAATTTCTGCATAAGTTTGAGTTCAAGGTGCTGCAATGATCCTATTTAAATTTATTCTCTTTAATTTTTGCTGAAATTTCCAGTAACATATCTTACTCTCAGCATTCAGATTTTGACTAAAATATTAAGTTTAAAAATGTGTATGCATCTGGTAATTTCACAAAATGGGATATCAGAAGAATGGTCTGAATTATTGTGCAAGGCACTGAACAGACACTACATAGATAATTGTAACATGTAACTTTGTAAAATTATTTTCACCCAACCTCTTGTATAAAAAGTAATCCTTCATACAAGTAATTTGACTGGAAATCTTTACCGAAATTCCTTGTGATCCTTAATTGAATGAATAGATTTTAAAAAAGGGATAGTAAATCCCATCCAGAGAACATATTCCAATTGCCAATCCAATAAGTTCCTATTTTCAACTATGGAAAGAAAAAACCTGGGAATGAAAATTGTGTGGTTATGTACGGATATGCCTACAGTATGAAATATTGCAAAGCAATTTTAAAAATATTTGTAGCTATACTCCAAATGTGGAATAAACTACTTGTTTAAAGTATACCCCCATGATGTGTTGCTTTGAGGTGTTTGGCAGGGAAATCTGGATACTAGGGATTTAATGTACAGTATGTTAATTTCTGTGTTTTGGATTTGTAACTTCCCAATAAACCTGCAGTTGCAAAGATAATTATGGTCTTTATCTTGGTGTATAAGGAAGACGCTAATGGTAGTAATGAATTTACAAAACCAAAGATGACCAACTTTATTCTTGAATTCCAGAAAACAAGATTTTACCAGAAATCAGATCATAGACAAATGCATGCTTGGCAATTTCCTGCATACAGAGAATATTCCACAGGTTAACAAAAGTGTTGAATGGAAGCCACAGCAGAGTGAATCATCACTTAACACCATGGTATGCTCTGTGTCCAACAAAGATTTACTTTGTTAAATATCTTGTTAATGCTTTATTGAATTACAGTGCTGGAGAATTTGTTTGGATTAGCAAATGGACAACAGCTACTTGAATTGTGTGGTTAATTTTTTTTTACCAGGCAGTTAAGAGAATCATGCAGCGGGACACTGGTTTTAATAAGCACGGGCACATTTTTAAAGTCTAGCTGCTGAGAGAAAACAATTTCCAAGACACAAAAAGTGCTGTCATATGTTTACTTTGTCCATGTTAGCCCGCTGCACCAGGCAACACACCAGATGCACATCTGAGTTTAATTGACACTCATGACATGTGGACACCATTTTGTGAGAGACTGGGTGGTTTTACTGGTTTTCGTATAAAAGTACAACATTTGTTATAGTATGGTGCTTTACATAATTCCCTGTGATCTTTGGTTGTGTGCTTGTTGGCAAACTCAGTTGTATTAGATAAAATATAGAGTGTTGATACTGTATAATGCAGAACAAATGTATTTTTTTCTCTGCATAAGGAATGTTTATGGGTGAGAAGAAAGATGTGTATCTAGAAGGTCCATTGATTAAAATGTTTGAATTCAGTGTCTTTTGGGCTTTACAGTCATACAAAATACTCTTTCAAGCCATCTGAGCACCATAGTGTAACTCAACATTTTGAATGATTCTAGCAGATAAGAAAAGCTTGTGAAGGTGGACTGCTTTGAAGTCATGTTTCTCTTTATTAATTGTGGTGTCTTAGTTATATTTTAAAGTAATATAACTCAAGTATCATCAAGTATCATCAAGTAAATGCATATAAACACTATTCTGTTAGTATAAAAAAACACACTGTTTTCATAATGACATAATTTATGACATAAATTGAAAGAAGAGCCTTACAACAAATCCAGTTTGAATACAGTAGAAAACAGTTTGATTTAGATATTTAGTTTTTTTATAAAGATATTTTGGGGGATCCACTCACTAATGCTTTACAACACAGTGTATTGAAGTGTGATTGTTTTATACTGTATATATATGCACTTTAAACCTGTCTTACATTTAATGTTTACATCCACATAATTACATCTCTTAAAATACTCCATTTTTATCATACAATTATGTGCTTCATCTGCTGAAGTTCAGTAATGTTTCAGTAAAGTGCTGTGGACTCAGATCACTGCTCTTCCTATTACTAAAGAAGAATTACTGAAATCATCTCAGCATATTTCCTCCAGACTTTCATTCAGCACTTCTGGCAATGTGATCCATGTAAACTTTTTTGATGGTTATATAAACTGCATGCTATAAAAACTAACCTATTCACATCTTAGTGGACTGAGGAATAAATATTTGACTTTTCTTTAAAATACTACTATAATGATCTTTATATAGTGTTTTTTCTCTTTTATACAATATGCATTACAACTCAATTAAAGAACTGCATGCATTAATAGACACAAAATAAACTGGGACTTCTGGAAGATAATTTGCTTTAGTTTTTACTACACGATTATTGCAAAAGCATGTGTGCTTAGACTCAATACTAGCATACAAGTGCTTACCAAACATAATAAACTGGACAATAATTCTATATAATTCACAAAACTGTATACTATAGGAAAATATTTAGAAAATACTGTACAGTGTTTAAATTGTATCTTATTTTCGCACAACCATACAAGATTTACCAGTGTTTGGTATCAAAATTAAACCAATACTTGTGATTTGGTAATAAATTTGCTCACCTTTCATGCTCCTTGAATAATTTCACACATCACTTTAGACATCGAATATAACAGACACACACCGAGCTGTACAAAACATTTCCAGTGAATTGACAATAACCTTATGTACATTTGTCTTACAGAAAAAACACCAACAAAAAATACAACTCATGACAGTCTTTTAGGTAAAATTGGATCAAATCAAACTTGGTAGCTGTGTCTTTGAAATCATGGCCCCTTTTTTTCCCTGAGGACAAACTGTGGGCAAAATATTAGACATTTTACTGTAGAGCGTGATAAGTTTGCCTACAAGGAAAGTGGAGGTCCAAGCCCATTATTGCAGAATGTAGATTAGAATGTATATTTTACTCTCAAGAACAGCAAAAATAAAATATTCAGAAAGCATAGAATAAACAAAGCCTTTGAGTTCTATTAGCTCAGCTGGGTAATAGTTGACTTCCAGCATAACCACCCATTGAAACCACCTGGTTGCTGGTTACTACACTTATAATTAAGAAATAATGACTGGATTTTAAGATGATGTCATTTAGATATAGTAATATGTATATAGGAATTAAAGTAGGCTATCGCAGAGTCCTGATAAAGAAAACTGAGATTGTTCCTCAGTCGACCATTTGTCAGATACAGACTTGATTACAATTACACTTTTGTTCAGAGGAAATTATATAAAGGGGTGTCCAGACCATGAGTTTAGCCTGGATATTAAGGCACTACAGGATCTCACTGCAGTCATTGTTGAAGAAATAATATAAATTGAAATATACATTTAAAAATCATAACCTTTTTACTAAAAGCTCCAGTAAGATGAAAGCTCTTTAGGCTAAAAATAACATAGAGTAGCTTTTGGAATTATTTCAATTTCTTTTTTTGGCAGTTTTTAACTTGTTGATAATGTTACAATTTAACATAATCTAATGTGGGTATTTGTCAAAAATACATGCATTATGTTATTCACTTCACAGAACTAGATGGAAAGTACTATACTATTAAATATTTAATCAAAAGCAAAACCCATCAGATAATCTTTTTCACTAAGATCAAATAGGTTATTGTTCTAGTACTATGCAAAAAAAGAAGCATATCCATAGATTTTTTGTTAATATTTCATAGGACTTCCAAAAAATTAGCAGGTTTTAGTTCTTGTGAGGAAAAAATGGGTCAATCATTTCTGTAAATACAGAGCTGAAAATGCTTTTGTGGTCTGTTGTAAAATTCATGCATCATAGTTTTTAGGTGAGTAAATCTGATATTTTATTTTGTTACCCTCTTAAACAAGCCCTGTAGCAGATTATGTGATCAAAATGCCCAATTGCAAAAGCAGTCTAAAGATGCAAGATTTCAGATGTATACCATTATGCATGTCCGTAAAACAATCACAAGTTTTAAATCTGCATATTATTACAACATAATTTAAAGTGCAAGGACCCAAAAATATTTTAGAGACTTCCTATAGCTGTCTATAAACTTGCATAGCAAGTATTGTAATTAGAAATAATTCCAAATTAGAAATACATATTAACTGGAATATCTACTTGCTCTGCAGAAACATGAGATGGGAGCTAGAAGGAGGTATTGAAAATCATTATTATTTAAGATTTATTCTATGCTGAAAAAAGAAGAGGCTCCAGAGCCAAATGTTGTATTTCCTTTCTTCGCTTTTCAGCGTGGAATAAACCTTTACTTGTTCCTTTGCAGCCAACGAATGCTGATGCAGCTACCCACCTGAATTATTATTTAAGTTGAGAAGTACTGTACCAGTGTGGGAGCAGTTTGGGCAAATGTTTGCCTTGATCAAAAGCCATATTTGTCTGAGGAACAGTCAATCTGTCATTATCAGGACACCTGAAGAACACACAGCTCAGCATTCATAAAAGGAAGTACAGTGACCGACCCCATTACACAGAAACCATGTCTTTTCTCTCACTATTACAGCTTTTGTTGTTGTTTTTCAAGGAATATTTTCTAATTTTTATAAGAACTGGTCAGAAGTCACTTTCACGGGCCCTGTTTTGGTTCTGATGCAGCAGAACACTAATGTGCAGGTCCAAGATCCATTTGCCATTCTAATTTTCATCAAAATCTATCTGTGCGTATGATCCCACTTCATAAACACAAAAAAGGAAGATGCCAGCTTCTTACTACATTGGAAAATTACAGAGAAGGTGCAAGAGATCTTTCAGCAGGATGTGTATATTCTGCATAACAGTACTGAGCCTGTTGCTGGAAATAACATATGTCATCATTGCATGTGTCCTTTTGCTTTGTATTGCTGTGCCTTTACAACTAATTTACAGATGAAACATTGTATCTGCAAAATGCTAAATACTGTTATTTTCTCAGGAATCCTGACTGGTCCCAAGTCCTTTATTTTTAAATTTAATTTCATTTGGGACATTATTGATTCAGTTTGGATAGAAATTGAGTCCCCTGCACACACTGTAGGGAGTCCAGGAAGATAATGTTTACGTAATAAAAAGCCTTTGGCAGTGGTACAGTATTTTGGTCAACAGTACTGCCAGCACAGAAACTACCTAGAAAATGTTAATGATTGCAGCTTGGTTCTTTACTTTTTGAATCTGATGGAAAGCAGGAAAGAAGAAACAGAACTGTCAGCCCAGAGACAGAACAATGCTCGCTGCATTGTTCTTCACTGAAACACTGATTCAGAAATAAACAGCGAAACAGGTGGCATAAACTACCTCAGATAAGACAGTAAAAGACTCAGACAAGCTGAGAGTGATTAAGCAATTCTTTTTTAACCACTGCAAAGGTGTCAGAACGTTCTGAAATATTAGGTCATCTATGTCAGCATTGTGCAAGAATGCCTGAGCCTTCACTGATGCTTTTGTTTTAGACATAGTAGGTAGGTTGTCAAAAATCTGTGTGCTTTACTGAACAAGAGCTTTCCAGTCTTCACAGTGCATATTGGCCATGAAAGTACAGGATTGTAACATTCCCACTTAAGAACAGAAGAGAGCTTTCTGCTCAGAAATATTTCCTTCTATGGCATTCAGTGCATTTACTAAGAAAGGAAGCAATGGCAGATACTTTGTGTAATATCATGTACTTCGATTTAAGAGACACATTCAGTGTTAAAGCAATAAAGAGAAAGCGATAAAAGAGTAACAGCAGAGAGTTAGTGTTTCCAATAGATGGCCTTGAAGACCTTGAAGGAAGCATACTTGGCCATTATTGTTTTTAAAGATGATAACTGACTTGCATTTTTAATAATATGCATCTATATAACAAAATATATTTTGTTTACATTCAGACAGGAGATGTGTCTTTGTGGTATGCTCCTCTCTGTGCAAAGAAATGTTTAATATCTATGTATTATTCTGTTATTTGTGTTAGGGCATATGCATACCAAAACACTTTAGAAATGCAACATGTACAGTATATTATTAATGATACAATTTGTTATATAATGTTGTAATGTCTGGAGAAATTGTTAGTGCTCATGTTCACTTTTCAAACTGGCTTATTACCTCTCAAATATGAATTGACAAAGTGCGATGATAACAAGCATGCTAAAAATTGGTGTTTTTGAGAGTCTGCTATTGAACTCTATTGAAGGCACACAGGTACAATGGTGTAAATTACACTCTAGCAATGTCACTGCTCACTGAGGGGGGGGGGGCTGCTGTCTGGGAGTGTCGAGAGGGAACATTGTAAGATTAACAAGTTAATCGCTCTGTTCGGTGTAACTCTAGCAGTGCTACAGCCTGAGATGAAGTAACAATGACCAAACCATAGCCAGAGCCAATTAACCACACTGAGTAAATCAAAGCTTTGTGGAAACATTGAAAGGGTTTATTTAACCCGCAATATTAACAACATTGCGAAGGGTAAAATATTCAGAGGAATCCCGTTATCACGTCTCATTTGGTGACGGCTGGGTGTGTGTAAGAGAGAATGAATTTGTTATGACTGTTCACAGGTGTGAGGGTTAATAATGTGAACTATCAGAGCGGGCTTTTTTATTTTCAACTGTCATCTCACTGTAAAGTGTTATGATGACCAAAGTTAAGAGTTACATATGAAAGGTTTCGCCCGCCCATGCTACTTTGTGTGCTCAAGTTAATGGTGAATGCTCCAGGTTTGGTCACAAAAATTCAGGAGCCTGACCTAAATGCACCAATTGAGCCGTGACATCTTCGTTTTCTTGCCAGAAACGTGTTTACTGTAAATCTATGTCTCGGCCAATATCAGTTATCGGGTAAACATAACTTTATACTAATCCTAAGATTTGTCTTGAGCTTCAGGTTGCATTACTAAAATGTTTTGGAACATTTTTCCATCCTATAGCTTGTATAAAACTGTTTAAAAATATCACATTTTAAACATATCATGAAAGTAATCAGAAATTCTCCTCCTAAAATATACTGGACGTGAAACGCAGGTTACATACTGTACTGTATTTGTGTATGAGGTGTTCAACTCAATTTAGGGTAGCTGTACTTTGTTTAGTCTGTTTCATTATATTTATAAAGTAAATTATGTTTTATTATGCCATTTAAACAAAATGAAGATGTTCAAGTAGGTCCAAAACCTTTACCTGTTCCTAAACAAAATGAAGATAACTTGAGCTATTCATTAGTAAAAACTCCAATTTAAACTAGGAACTAGAAACTATGTAAAGTCCCAGTGTAGTAAATCACACAAAAAAACATGCACTTAAAATATTGCACTCCTTCTGTTTTAAAGTGTCCTACATAAAACACTCTTTGCTTTTATGCTTTTATTCTCATAATCCACATTGCAGCTGTACTTTATTTTTGTTTGCAAACATTGCATGATTTATTTGGTGATTTTGTTTGTTCTCGTATAGATATGAGTAAAAACGTAAGGAAATAGACTACAAAATTGAGGGCCAAAAGTTGGAGACTGTTTAGGCATATCATTCTTTTACTTCTAAAATATTGCACATGTACAGTACCTGAAGAAAAGTATTGACTGTGTGCTCTGTATTTGTTTAAGTCAGTGCAGAATTTAATGACTTCAGAAAATAATTATTTGAATATCTGTTTAACATACATCTCAGGATTTCTTAGGGAAAAAAAAACTATTAAAACTAGGAAATATTGAAATGTAAGGGTTAAAAACATGTTTTGAAATAAATATGAGTAGATGTATTAAAAATCGATTTAGATTTAGATTTACATGTGATGCAAACAAAAAGCCTTTGGGGAAATTGTTTCAATATGGTACTTCAGTTAGATGGAATGATTCAAGTCTAATGTGATTCTTAAGAGATAAAAGTTCTCTTGATTTGCCATGCCCTGATATGACATTTGAAAACCTGACATTTCTGATCAATATTGAAGTTTGGTTACAAGGTTAAAAGGTGCATGATTTAATTAAGTAGTTTAAGATCCTATACATTTTTCTTTAAAACACATAAACATTTCTTACCCGGGCACTTACCCGGGCACTGGAGTGATTCAGACCTCAGAATCTGCTTTTGTTTCAAAGATCTAGGACAGTGAAACGGGGTGACAGTTTCCCCAAGAAATCCAAATTTATAAGTTTCACAGATACCACTTACGGACTGAATTGACTTAATGGTATTTTTGTGCAAAAAATAGATTAACATAGCAATTTGTATTCTTGCTTCCAGAACGTCCTCAGACACCAAAATGACTAGAGTGTAATCATCCAGTTGCATACCAAATACTTGACTGAATTAAGCCGTGGAAACATTGAGAAGCATAAGCAAAGTGTTGAGGCTTGATCAGAAGATTATTTAACACTTCAAATTGTCTGGATCACACAACAGACAAAGAAAAACAGACTATGATTGTCATTTCCTGTTTCATATTCTATCTGCTAAACACGTTTGGTTTGAGGCATTGTAACTTCATTCCTAATAGATAGTTGGGAGATTGAAAAACTACATAAGTATATGGTTAAGCAGGCATTCTGAAACATATGCCGTAGGGTTCAAAAACAACTAAAAGGGTGGACATCGCACCCCAGAATAATATTTTGGTGTATGTAAGGAAGCACAAAACACAATTCATTATGTGTAATTCTGCCTGCTGTCAAAACTGCGGAAAGCTGATGTCTTTGTCAGCTTTCTCATCGAGAAGCTGTCTGTCTTGCCTTCTGGCTTGGCTGACTTGCTCCTCTGAAAGGGATTCCGTGAGTTCCTTTGCCTGTCCATTTTATCGCTTATAGAGAAGCTTTTCCTAGTGTGCGCGTTTGTTGTGTGTGAGTCTTCGGAGGAGCAGCTGTTTGCTCGCTCCAGTCTAGACCGTGGCCCGCACAACGGTCCCATCAGGGTACTGCCTGGGCCGAAGCCCCCTCTCCTGGGCTCGGGTTCAGGCTCCTCGTTGTCCGACCCTGGATGGCTCAGCTCGGCCTCCCTTTCAGGATGAGAAATACTCAGATCCTGGGGCTTCTCGAAGGAGCCGCCGGGAGAGCCAGAGCGCTGCGTGCTGGCAGGACAGGCAGAAACGCAACGAGTGTCAATACAGTCAGTAATACTGGTGTACTCTGCGGCTTTCACCTGGACACCGAGGCCTCCATAATAGCCCCTGGGTGTGAACATGAGACTGTGGGATTTGACCATGGGCGTGTCTTCAAGGAAGAGGGGTGCAGCAGACAGGTAGCGACTGCTTTTTGAGCGTTCCAGATGCTGAGGAGGGTCCAAGTCCCAGTGCTGGAGACTTTCAGTGACATGGGAAGAGCCCATTGAAAGGTCTACGGCTGCACTGTCTTCAAAAACTCCTGTTGCCTCAGAACACTTATCAGTCACTGCGCTGTAGGTCAGGACAGCCTCCATGATTTCTGACTGCAAAGAGGAATCTCTCTGCAGTGGCAACCTCAGCGGTGCGCTGTCAGTCTCAGGCGCAGGGTGGGACTCATCAGAGGCTGAGACGTAAATGTCAATACAAGAGGAAGGCCTTCTGGAGTCATGGGTCACTGACAGTGTGTTGATGGGTAGTGGCACAGGCTTGGGCTCTTTGGAAGCGGCCACAGACTGCGAGCTGCTGGCTCTGTGCAGACTCAGGGATCTCTCTTTGAAAAAGCCCTCAATTTTGTCTATTCCACTCTTCTCCCTGGAGCCCCCTACATAAAAGGAGTGACTTCTCATGCGAGGAATGATGGTGGGTGAAGTGGGGGATATGGACTCCTCTCCTATCTGTTCAATGGCTTCTTGGATCTTGTAGGCATTGCCTTCCTGGCTGTTGAAGCTGCTCTGTCGCAGGATGTAGGCAGTGTCAGTGCAGTCTGAGGAGGTCCTAGACCTGGTCTTATTCATTTCACCCCTCTCCACGCCGGCTACTTTCTCCAGCGCAGAAGCCATGCGCCCGATGATCTCTTCCATCTGGGCTAGCCTGATATCCACAGTTTGCAAGGAGGCCTTCATAAAGTGCTCTCGCTCGTTGACTTCCTCCAAACGCATGGCCATGTTTTCAACTCTAAAATACACAACGTGAAATAGGCTGTACATGTCTTTGAGTGACAGTTGTACATACAAAGAAAACGCAATTGCAAATGTCATTTTAAGTGGGATTTTAAACACGACATATCAATTCATCATTCAGAAAGGATCCATCAATGAGAAAGCCGCCTCTTCCTGTTAAGAATCACGGCAACTCAGAGCCTGTCCTGAAAGTATCGGCCCCATGATAGGACCACGATATGAATGGGAAGCCAGTACATTGAAGGGGAGACAAACAGGGATAATTTAGAGACACCGACTATCCTCGGCAGAAATATGTGTGGCGGGGGGGATTAGAGTAATTGGAGAGAAAAGAGCCTGTCCCTCCATACTGTACATATTGGACAATATTTTCCCAGGATTCTGCACATTCAGCTCAGAGCTTTCATTCCGTGAGAAATATTTCTTTTTAAAATGATCATTTTAAAAATTGCTCCTAATATGGAGTTTTTTTCCAACCAGCATTGTATTTCATTTTTCAAACCACTGAAAGTACACATTATACCAAGCATAAGAAAATGTTAATTTCGTTAGTAGATGCGCTCCGTTTTTCAGATAAAATCAAAATCACAGTGACTCCAGGACCAACCTTTCAGAAGTTACCCTGATCCTTTCGTCATTTGAAGAGTTAAAGCGGTCGTCCTTTTCTCTGAAGTATTCCTCTATGCACTGCTCTTCAAAGTCGTGTACTTTTTTTAGCTCATCTTCTGTGATGAACAATTCTAGAATGTGAAGGAAAAAATCCCAAATTTTTCTTCAGTTGTTTTTAAAATCCTAAAATTGTCTAACATTTTAAGTCAATTTCTTATCCAGTTCAAAACTGCAGTGACGCCTTCATTTTTTAAAATATCCTTGCTCTGACTGTCAACTAATGTGTATGGGATTGAGTGTGTGAGAGTTACTCTTATGGTTTCTTATGTGTGTGTCTGTGCAATTTGTACTCCTAAAATTTTCTACCATGATTTTTTCAAAAGATATAACATATACTTGAATCCTAAGTATTTTTTTTTCTCTTAACATGAAGGGTTTTTCTATTTGAAAAAAAGTTATAAATACAAATTCACTGCTTCTCAAACTTTTCATATGGTGATACACATTGAACACCTCAGACTGTTCAACGCATACAACATAATTTTAAATTGATTTTTATATATGACTTTAACCATCACTGTTATTACAAGAATTAACATGTACTTAGAACTAAAACAACTTTTTGTCATAGAATTTCACTGTGAAATGTGAACACAGTAACTACTGAAAAGCTGCATAGAGCTCCTGATCCACATTTTTAAACAAAATCTCTTCTGATTCTGCACCACATCAGAGACCTTTCCATGGAATACCAGTGGCACAGTTTAAGAAGCTCTGAACTATACAAACAGAAAAGAAAATTTAATTAAAAATTTGTATGTATTGATCTCATGATTAATATTAAGTCAAAGCTTATTCATAGAGTAAAATGAGTATAAACTGCTGGGTCCAGCAGGGATAAGCAGTACATTTTTGGACCTACTGTAAACATTATCCATCTTGTGCTTTCATTTTAGATACAGAAGCATTGCATAATCTTACAGACTGGCGTGATTCAGTTGTCATGTCTGCAGTTTTGAACCTCAGGCTGACGTTCTGCTCATCTCACTTACTCAGTCCGTAGTCCCTTTCATCTTGATCATCGTGTTTCCTCCAACGGCAGCACAGGTGCTTTAAGACCATAGTCATGTGGCTTAAGATGATGAGAGGGGGTGGCAAAACGGGCCTTTCATGAAACGTCATGATGAGCTGGTACCTCTGAAACTTCCACACCTGATTGGAGATGGATTTCACCTCAAAGAAGGTGTTACTGCAGCAAGACAATAACATACCCATTGGGAAATGTGGAGACACGAACGCATAGTCGTCTACTGTTCTCTGGATATCTGTCCGGCTGCCTCTGTCTTTCACAGCTGTCTGAAAAACTAAAACCCCTTTCTCCCAAGAAGCCTTTGTGATAATTGATGGATTAAAGGATTGTGGGTGCTATCTTTGGAAAAGATGTTTCTAACTGAAATCCAAAAGGTAAATCTCTCCTGTAAACAAGTCAGCCATTAGTAAAACCATTCTCAACACACGTTCAGTGTCCTAGTAGTGCTTGCACTATTACTACTACGGGGAAGAGAATTGTACAAGTGCACCAGTGAGCTTGAACTTACTTGAACACTGCTATTAGAAGATTTACCAAGAGGATGTTGGCAACTAAGAGATAACAAGCCATTATGGCTGGCACTATCCAAGCACCTGTTTTACAGGGAGGAAGTGTTACGTAAGTCCCATCCTCTGCTGTAATGTTCTGGCCGCACGGAGCTAAAAAAAGATAAGAGAAAAGCGTCAAGTGTTGCAGGCTCTGAAATACACCTTTTTGTGAAGTCAATGGTATAAAATTCTTTTAAGTGGATTCAAAGAACATGTTCTGGATATGTACCTTAAAATATATTAATAATATATTTTTCATGTGAATAACTTGGATCTTCAATATATTTAAACATTTCATGCTTTAAATATATTGTTTTTGTATCAGAAGGTCTGTTATTGGAAGAATTGTGATCTGTATATTGGGGACAAAAATATGAAAAATGTATTGAAAATACATCATATGTTTTTTCCATCTGGGGGTGGTTCAGTTGCTACTGTTTGTATTAAGGTAACAAACAAATGAAATTTCCTTGCGTCATCCCAAACGTATGAGTGGAATTCAGAGGGCAACCCAAAGGAGAACTGAAATAACAGAGTTCATACTTGCAGTTTTGGATCTGCAACGTAGTGCGGGCGTTTACAACTGAACCAGGTGAAAAAACACGGACGACGATGGATGAACGGCAGGTGGAATGTGCCGCCGGCAGATCCTACATGTCCGTGAATCCTTTGCAAGCATCATTTCAATGCTTGGGATGGCGTTTATGGTGAAAACACTGCAGGTGTCTGCGGACCAGGTAAACGGAGGGGATGATGGCCCTAACAATGGTCTTTGAATTAATTGTTTTAGGTGCACAAGCCTGTCAATAAGCCCTACAGGAAGGCATGAAATGACATGGCATGGCCTAGGAAAGAATGAAGGATGGACCATTGTTACGCCACGTTCCAAGACTTCGAAAGTAGATCAGCCAGATTTTTTCATTCGGTCTGTACCGTGGCTTCCTACTATTCACTTCATCTGAAACAAAGAATCACAGTGTTATTTCAGGTCTCCTTTTGGGCTGCCCTGTACATCACATCATCATCATCATCATCACTTTCAAAAACCGCTTATCCAGATCAGGACACAGCAGACAGTGGCCTGGAGCCTATCCTGGGAAGCATTGGGCACAAGGAGGGATACACCCTGGAGAGGACACCAGTCCATCACAGGGCACACACACCAGAGTCAATTTGTTCTAAATTAACCTACCAGCATGGCTTTGGACTGTGGGAGGAAACCCACGTGAGTACTGAAAGAGCATACCATGCAGATAGTACCCCAGGAATTCATTTCAGGGCCGCATCGCTGCAAGGCAGCAATAAACTATGTAGATATTTTGTAAATATTTTACCATGTGACATGTGGCAGTATGTCATTGCATTGACACAATCTATTTAGAAATACTTTAATACTAAGGAATTTTTACAGTATTAGAGATCTAAAAAAATGTGTTTCTAGTCCTAAATGTTTGTCGGGCACTTTTGAAATTAACATTGTAATTGTTGTTATCCTTTTACCAACATTGTATTTTCAAGTACATACTTTCCATCATCCCAAATGTTGATGCAATGGTAATATACTTCTTTATTCCCAGAATGACTAATGACTTACGGTCTATCTGATCTGCAAACACCTCTCCATAAATCATCCAGTATGGCATAAAAAATATATTCCTGGCCAGCATCCAGGAAGGATCCTCATTGGGGTTCAGAATTGCTTGGCGTGCAACTCCAAAGCTCATCAGGACCACCAGCATAATAATGACAAAATACATCATATCAATCATCTGTCAAAAAGGAAAGGGAAACTGCAATTAGATGTGCACAGTTTCATAACCACACTGTTCTCTCAATCTAAGAGACATTAAACAAGGTGCTTGCACAACTCTTTGACAACAAGAAATATGTTTTTTACAATAACATCACTCATGTGATACTTCTCAGGTCTCAGGGGTCTGCAAAGTACATTTAGTTTCATTTGTCTGGATGTATACAAAGCAATAATATCTTAATTATTTTATTAATAATGTTACTGTGGTAGTAGCAGGACTTACAGTATTAAGTATTACACAGGTTCTTTTGTTTCATTTTTCAAATATAAATTTGGGGACCTTACTGACAGTAGGATTAATCAACACTTAACCGTGCATATGATGTATCCAGAAAAGAGCCCTGTAATGTTCTTACCATCTTCCCTATCATCATGACATATGGGCCCAGATATTTATTGACTCCAAAAATGTCCAGCAGCCTGATGTACCAATAGATGATATTGACACAGTAGATGACTCGGCCGTAGCTCATGAAAGGAGGATCCTGCAGGCGCAGTACCAAGCCCACAGAAAAGATCAGGATTGCCATGAGATCAGTGATGTTCCAGTATTCTTGCAGCCACACCTTCACTTTCTGTAGCAGCTTCCCCGGCTCAGACATGAGGATCTGCGGAACACAAGCTCCATTACGAATGCTGCTGTTGAGGAATCCAAAGTCCAAATCTAAGAGATGTTCTCTCAGTTAAAAATGTTTTGTGTGTGAATCATGTAGTCTGCGATTTTAGCAAAGCTGACGTTAGTGCACAAATTCTAAGACAGCTGTCCTTAGATCTGAAGGATATGGATCTGAAAATCTTGAAGTGCATGAGGTTTTTGTTTTTGCAATAACCAAAAATAAAAATACATTGTAATCGTGAAATCGGTCCTTTCTGTAACGAGTAGGGTCACTACTTTGGAAATCAAACTGGAAACCACAAGTGGTTAGAAAACTGGATGGGTGCAAAAATATGTAAAGGAGCAGGGGTAAAATATAACAGATCACAAAGTGTATACTCAACTGGGCCAGCAGGTGGCAGAGGTTGACTGTTCAATGTAGGAGAAATAATTACTGTACTTGGGTGAACACCTTATAAAAACTGAGCAGATATTGAATGGTTCACATCAGAATGGAGTGAGAGAAAATTGTCAAGTTTTAGAAATATTGTGGAAAAACGACTGACACAATCGTTATAACGAAGTATAGAGATTTAGAATAAAAGGCATCGGTAATATGAAGGACGGGCTTTCTTACTGCCGTGGTAGAGAGTTGCACATCCTACTACAATCGATATTATTTTACTTTCATGTCTGCATAATATCTTGGTCTGAACCTTGGAGATACAGGGTGATTGTGGCTTTAGAACACCTACCTCTCTCATTTTCTCTATCCCATTTGTAAAAATATACGCAATTACAATCCACTCTTGAGGTGAAGGCCACAGGTCCATCTTCACTAGTACAATGTAATTGAACAGCATCAGGTAGCCAACATAAGCCATCTAAACAACATGTGAAAAGCTAGGATTAGTATCTGCACAATAAAGAACAGGCCTCATGACACATGAGCAGCTGGGTGAAGGCTGGAGTACTGAAATACATTTAAAGCTCTACCTACAGAGAATTGTTTTACTGCAACTTTAGAATACAATTCAATAAAGGTTAACCTTTTAGTACCCCCTTGTGTCACAGATCTCCGGAGGCAATTTCTGCCTGGAATGACATCCCCTTAAACATTTTGTAATACCGCTGTAAGTATAGTCAGTAGAGGTTCAGGTGGGTAGCTGCGTCAGCAGGGCCCTGTCTCTCTCACACCTGAAGAAGGCTCCACGGCCGAAACGTTGTGTTCTCTTTCTTCTTTTTTTCAGCATGGAATAAACCTATTACTTGTTCCTAGTCAGTAGAGGCCTGGTTCGGGGCTGAAGTTGAAGCTAATTCCACACATTTGGATCTTTTTTAAAAGTAACACACGTAAGTTTATTATCTTATGTCAGTTATAGTTTATTAATTTCTGCTGTAAGCACAACGATTAGCATGGAATAGACAACAGATTGCATAGACTGTCAAAATTTAAGAAAAACATTAAGGCCAGCTGTTTGGTGTGTCAGCCTTGGAATTCTTTGCAGATAACTCTGGCAAAAAATGTATTTGAAAATAATGTTAATGTGTTTTCCAGAGGATGTATCTTCACACTATTTGCAACATGTACATATATGCACTGTTAAAAGAATGTTTCCAAGAATATCATCCTGAAATCCAAAGCTACTGATTAACCTGATTTGAAATATCTTAAACCACTGAATATTAAACATATTATACAAGCTAAAGGATCCTATGAACCTAAAATTAATTGTAGTTGCAGTATATAGCACTTTTCATTACAAAGGATTTCAAATGTCCTATAGAAAGGGACCTAGTTCACTGAAGTGGAGTACCTAACTGGCCAGTGTAGCCTTTATTTTAAATACAGCCATACAATGTTAGCAAGCTGTACAAGCCCAGAAAAGAATGCAATAGCCAAGACCTGGATGTAATATCTTTGCCAAAGAACAACACAGTCTCCCCAAACTGGGACATTGGTTTTAGAAGTACTGGACCAGAAGGAACAGTGTCACCTACTGCTCCATCAAAGCAGCAACTCGGTTTTCCGTAGTACTGAACAGATCCTGCTTGTTGAGCTTCTGAGATCAGCTTACAAGCCGATAACGCTGCTGTCAGCATTAAACAAATCTGGTGAAAATATAAGGCCAAAATCAACCAGCAGGTAGATTTAATGATGGATTAAATCAAAATAAAAATAAATAAAATAAAAGGCAATAAAAGGCAATTTTCCATATCCAAGCCACATCAGCTCAATCTGATTAACTCTTGGACAGTTCATTGCTAAGACCACTCCCCAACACTGCTGGCCTCCATTCAGACAACTGGGTGGACTGGAGCAACTGGAGTAAAGCTCCTTGCTCACAGTACAAGTGCAATGTCTGCCGTGGGGACTCGAACCCACAACCCACCAGTCATGAGCCCAGAAACCTGCTACACTACACTGCCCCTGAAGTAAGATAGCACCTGGAAAAAAGTGTATTAATGAAACAAACAAATTAGTATTGTTGAAGTAGTAAAAGTACCATAATTATTGAAACACTCACTGTATGGAACCAAAATTTGACAATGGGCGCATTGTAAAACTCATAGATTTTCCTCCCAAGCGGTATGAACCTGTGTCTGGTTTGGACTTCCTCCACATCTTTTTTTCTGGAAGATTCCTTGTTTACTTTTCCCAGCATGGCCTAACAAATAATGGAGGAGAAAAAGGGTTAGATCATCTGAGTTTTCAATAACAACGAACAAGTATAGGATGGAACACTGCACTTGAAGCTCCCCCCCATCTCCACTACAAATTGTGCTCAGTCACAGGAGGAAGTTACTAATGAAATCCCCAAAGCTCCAAGCTATTTTTATGCATTCTAATTCCGAGCATTGCTTTGATGTGCAGTTTCCATTTTATTTTAGACTTAAAAGACAGCATAAAAACAAATTGTAATCTGGGATGACAGAACACAGATCATAATCCAATGAATGGAACACAAAATCCTGACAATGGAAATTACTGTGCACTCCTGGGAAATTATTTAATTGTATTGCAGCAACCTGGGTTTGCTTTCTGTGAAGCAATTCAGTTTTCCACAAATGATCTTTGTGCCACTGAAACCTGAAGGAAGCTCTGAGGTCCTGACCAGGATGAATGTATTTCTGTGTTATTTTTACAGTATGTGTCTCTTAACTATAGTTAAGTCAAATTCCAAAACAGAGTTACCCATATGGAAAAGACATCATGATAGATAAAACTGGACACTTCATGCAGTGCGTTATGTGGCACATATTCTGCTGTATATACATGAATTTATTTGATGTGTGTTACTTGTTATATTGTTGTCTGAACTTTGTACTTTGATCATGATGCAGTAAGTCTTAAAATTTCTGTAATGAGACATGTTTATTATTCTTTCTTTAATAATGCAATAAGATGATATATAACAGTTTTGATCATTTCATCATCAGGTACAGTCCATAATCCACATTCACGTACAGTACTATTCACCACTTCTATAGGAATTGTTTTGAAACTTCAACCCCCCAAGATTATAAATAAAAACAATACGCAAGTTTATTCATTGTAATCCTGACCTTTTGCTCTCCACATAAATGGAAGCTGTTATTTCATGTGTTATTCTAGTATGACCTGTTTGTAGTTTCAAGTTATTTCAATAGGGAGAAACTGGGCATTTCCAAAAACGTGTCATTAATTGACATAACAGAACCTGAAATGTGCACTAGCTCGGCAGAGATGTTACATACAGTACAATGCTACAGGAATTTAAAGAAAGTCAAGAAAGGCTAGTTTTGTGCCACTTTGCAGGTGTGTTTTCTTTGCTTGTAGCGTGAGTTCAAATGAGTTGGAAAGACGGGAACTCTGCTGTGGATTAAATGTGTGTAGCTCTGGCATAGCAGCCAGGGAAGATTCAGCACAGATGCCACCAAGTGTTTAATGAACATTTCTGAGTGTGACATGCATTACTCTGGCTAGATAGAATTTGTTCAGGCCAGCCAGTGCTGCTGTTAGCTGATATAAATTTTCCTGGGTTGCATTTCGCCACAGACCTGCTGACCACATCAAGTTGTTATTTTGAGCTTATCCTTTAGGTTCCAGTTGAGATCAAAGCTTCTTCCTTCAATGCCTTAACTGTATGCATTATTTCATGGATACTCATCCCTTCTTTTAGGTTGTGAGGCTTTTCAAAAGCGCAGATTCATTGTACTTTTCTGGTAATCCGTTCACAACATTTGCTTTAATGAAGTCTACAAGCAAATTCAACGCTACAGTTTGCCATGATATACTGCATGGTTTGACAAACACGGACAGGATAAAACCGAAAAGGCTGGGAAAATTCAGATTGACCTAATTTTGAAGATTCATACAGTATATGCACTCATGAGACATATGCATGAAACAGTGAGAAAGTGCTGCAGTACAATTACTCAGAGATGTAGAAAGAATCTGTTTCTGGTCATCAAATACAGATTCACCATTTGTGGCATGGATGAAAGTATGTTTTCAGTGTAGATGTGTGCACTGGACTTAAACAGTTACAATACCTCTATATTTTTTTGAAGTAAGGGTTGCTAGAAATTGTAAAAAAAAACAGAACAGAGAGACACACAAACAGCCAAACCATTACCAAAGACAAAGACATTACATTCCAAAGACATCGTTTGCTGAAGGTAGGATATAGAAACAATCAGGAAGACACAGAAGGGCTTGCTTGGCTAAAAACTAAGAAAGCTAATGCCTGTCTATGTATCTGTTGGGAAGAACAATCCCCATGTATTTCAATAGTAGAAATCTACAGTTACATGCTTATATGTTTTTAATGCAAGAGTCTCCACATTCAGATAAATGGTGGTACTGTATAAGTCCAATACCCAGCACTGCTCATAAACCTGAAAATCCTTGGCACAGTAGAGCTAAAAGAGCTAAAAGTAAAGTCAGCCAACCACACATGCTATTCTCCAAAATATACCTTCAATTTAACACACTGTCAATGTTTCAACACAAGAAGCTTCACTGGCACAAACTGATCACCTGTCTCTGTGGCACATATGGGTAAAACCAACAGGCAACTTAAACAAAGGATTTTTGTGCACTGGAGCTTCGTTAGGTGTTAGAATCTGACTTTGGCCCCTTTGGTTACACCCCTACTCTTTTCAAGAAACGCCCTGGGATTTTTAATGACCACAGAGAGTCAGGACCTCGGTTTTACATCTCATCCGAAGGACAGCACCTGTTTACAGTGTAGTGTCCCCGTCGCTATACTGGGGCATTAGGACCCACATAGACCGCAGGGTGAGGGCCCCTGCTGGCCCCACTAACACCTCTTCCAGCAGCAACCTTAGTTTTTCCCAGGAGGTCTCCCATCCAGGTACTGCCCAGGCTCACACCTGCTTAGCTTCAGTGGGTTGCCAGTTGTGAGTTGCAGGGTGATATGGCTGCTGGCGACAGTTCTACCGAGGCAATGTCTACTGACAGTTCTTCTCATTAGAAACAAAGGGTATTCTCCTTTCACATGGAATACAGATGGTTGAGAAACTTCTACTGTATACATAATGGATTTTCAGTAAGCCAAATATGTTTGTCCCGATGAAGACTCTAGTGACAAGACATTGACGGTTTGTTAAATAAAAGATACAGTATATAATTTGGAATACAGCATAAGCGTTCAGCTGACTCCTTATTGCTTTTTCTCTGCACTTTCTTAATGTCTGGATGTGTGTTCTTTCCTCTTTTCCTTGTACCTCTGCAGAGCTACCCAGAAATACCAAAGGGGGGTGGGGTGGGGGCTGAGGTGGGTGCTCTCACCACGGCGTTGTACTGCGTCCCACAGTATGATCTTACTGTGAACTCCATGTCTTCCTCCTCCTTCTCTTTCACCGGCTTCTCTGGCTCTTCGGTCTCTTTTTCCTGCAGGTAGGCCTCTTGGTCCTGGGGCATGTAGGACATCTCGTCCTTGTTCTTAAATTCCAGACTCAGAATAGAGGGAGGCAATAGCAGTCCTAGTATGACCTGTACAGAGGCAACATCATATCACATCACAGACATCAAAGATGTGTCCATTCACTGTCAAAAAGTACAGCCCTCACTGGCCAAATAGAAATGCTGTATGTACCCTGTATGTGTTTAGTATTTTCTTAACCATTTGCCTTAACAGATTAAGGAAATATTGTTTTTCTGTGCTTTGGCAAACAAATTGGCCACAGATTCTCATCAATGCGTTCTGATGTTCAGATCATCACAGGAATAACATCTGAATGTCTAAAGCTCTTCCTCCCATTTTGATTACATGCTGGTTACAATTGCCTCTCAAATATAACTTGTCTTTCTACAGTTTTCAGATTAATGTTTAGTATAAACTGACTTTATGATTTGCTCCAAAACGTGCTGCATTGAACAGATTTTAACCACGTTTGACTTACAATATATTAATGACTTTGAGAAATGGTGCACAACCTCATCTTTTAAGAATAGTACATCTTACAAACTGCTGGTGTTTCTATAGAGGATGGAAAAGTGCACTCATAAAGACCAGACAGATTTTTCTTTAATTACTGCAGACGCTCTACTCGTGTGTCTTCTAATTCCTACTCTCGGAAGTCATGGGAAGGGAATTGATACAATCTCATTCATACTTGCACTGGAACCTGTAGAAGTTAATCAAGCAAAAACCATTAAGAGCTGATTAGTCAAGACAATCATGAGTGTAAAACTGTGACAGCTACTGAGATCTAAAGAGCTGAGGGTGGTGGATTGCCTAAGTGCACATTTTTTCTTCTGTCAGGAACTTGTCTTTGCTTTGTGGTCTATAATGAAGGTATACTTTAGTCTGGATTTTTTTCTTTATCCTTCACACAATATAGAGTACACAATGTACTCTCTGATTCCTGCACATTTGTAGAACACTGTTAAGTAACAGGCTGGATTTTTCAAAGAACGGTAAAAGTATGTAAGACAGGACTGTTCCCCAAAGGAAGAGAATAAAAGTTTTTTTCTATCATTCTGTACGACATTTTTACAAGACCACACAATGAAGAAACTATCCATGGGCTTGATGATGCCAAGACACCTCCAATAATCAGGGAGGAATTTCGCTTCTTTTCACAACAGATCATTTCTGAAACAGGACATGGCAATTCTTTGTCTATGTAAGACCTGTACAAACCAAATCAGTTTTCACATTCAAATTCAAATCTTCAGAATATCTTCCTTCTTAAAAACGAACAACAGAGGGAGCATGTAAACAGAAATTTGGGAGGTGGTCACATTTCTAATCTTGCATACTGTACGTTTGCTCTCAGATATACAGTATACAGTAATTATCTCGCATTCTGCACATCTTTTCTACCTCCCCTCCCTCCACCCCATCTTCACTCTTGCACCTGTTCCCTGATTCATTCCTCATGTGACTTACGCCACATTGTAATATACTGTCCCTATAAATCCTGTTGTCTTGTTGCATTCATTACTATTCGACCAAACTACTGAAATACGCTATGTGAGTATACATGTTGTTCTGGTTAAGACAACTGATAAATATTAATTAGTGTAGAATTCATGCTGACAGACTTAAAATGTCTCCAGTGGATCTCCATTTCATATGAGAAATTTGTTGTAAGCTCTATACATATTTAATTGAAATTTAGCCAGTGTAATCAAGTAATTTATCATATCAAGATGCACCTTGACCTTCCTAAGGAATAATATAAATCCCATCTACATAGTACTCCTGTGCATAACAACAGTCTTGCTCTGAAATGTATATTTACTCATGTTGACAGGGGGGTGTAAATGACATGTGGAGGTAGAAATGAAGCTATCGATTGTTTATGTCATGAAATGACTGGGAGGTGAAATAAGGATAAAACAGAAATCTAACTAGGAAGGTTTCAGCTGGGTTTTGAAAGACATATAAACAAATAATTATGTTACATACTGTATCTGTATATCTTAACACTTTGAAAAGATAAATTAAAAAATTAAAAAAATGTGAAATAATGAAAAACCAATGACAAAAATATGACACATGGTGTATTAGATTCACAGTGCAAAATGTTGCATTACTCACCCCCTTGAAGAAAACAATTTAAAATGTATGATAATTCTGGACTATAATAAGGGGAAGAGTTTTTGCTAAAATTGGAAGCTAAAATTCCTAGAAGACTGTAATATAAGTGTATCATATAGATTAGAAACTGAGACCCCTGGATATACTGTGGAAAGATTAGAAGGTAAGAAGAAAACTAAAGACTAAGATACATACAAAATGTAGGAAATAATAAAAAAAAATAATTGACAACCTTATTTGAATTTGAGTTTATTCAGTTAATAAGGTCTGGTTGATGGACTTGCTAGCAAGGTACATCTTCTTCAGACGAACGTGTGGCAGGTTGAACCATGAAAATGTCCGTGTGTTACTAGAAATACGTTATTTTTAGGCTTTGACTCTGAGTGTGTGGTGGTTAGCGTTCCTGACCTTCAGCCCAGAGTTCTTCCTCATGCGCAGCCTGCCCATCCACATGTCCGTCAGCAGCATCTGGCTACAGGTGTGTGCAATGAAGTCCCTGTGTTTGGCTGCCACAGCCAGCTGGAGGCAGGTGGCATTGCTCCAGTTCTTCAGCTCATAGGTGAGCAACTTCATGGCCATCTGCTCATCCTGCTTGTAGGATTGGTCTAATAGCTCCACTGCCAGCTGACCAAACTCCCTACAGAACATATGTCACCCATGTCAGAAGTCATTTCTCTTCAGCAATACTAATTACACACACATACAGGCTTTAGGTGATGGGGGTTACATATATATATTTTAATTTATATGTTAATTTATTTACATTTTAGTGGTGAACTGCAACACTATTTTTATATTTAGAAAGATTAGAAAGGATAGCTCACACCATATCCTGCGATTGACAACAAACTTCTGGTGAGGTGAAGGGGCCCTATTACATTGTAAACAAACAGACTTTTGAATACCTTTCTTTTAACCAAATAGAAATATTACTCTTGACTTTGAGATGATTTTGCTGGCACATTGGAACATTGCTGCGGTGAAATGTCTGTTGCACAACCTGTTTTGTACATTACAGTGACTAGTGAGCAGGAAGGGGCACTTCACGTCACAGTTTGTGCGAAGGCGAGAGCAAGGGTTTGCGACAACATGGTGACTTACAGTACTTTCACAAAGTTCATGACTTTGTGCTCGATCCAGAATTTTTTAAATTTTGTGATATCACTTAATTTATTTTGTTTCAAAGGTTATATTAACCGGTCTGAAAAATTGGGACTGATATCTCCCTTTAAGGTAAAATTGTAGAGCCGTTTTAACTGAACTCAACTGCATTTCAGTGAAATCCAGAAATACCATGACTGCTTAAGGATCCTGGGAGGGCACAACACTTAGAGAAAACTCAGACTATCCACCAGTTACTGTTTACAGACAGTTCATTCTTCTCACAATCAGTGTTTAACCAATGGGCACATTTTTACTAGTATTTCACATCTCACATTTTTAGATTTGTTTTTCAGTTTTTATGATTGTGAAATGTCAGTTGTCAGACACTATAGGTTAGTAGCATTAAATCAAATTTTGATATACTGTAGTGCCTATAGCACAATGGCATTGCATCAAAAATGATTGATATGAAGCTACTGGTGGTAAGTCCACCAGGAAACCAACCTGGAATTGTGGTTTAACTCCTGTGAGATGTCATCAACCATGTCATTTTCGGAGGCCTCGTGAGCCATGGCTTTGCAGAGCTTGCAGGCCACCAGGGCCTTGGCCATCGCCTCTTCTCCGTGCTGCCAGAAAAACAGAGCCATCTTCTGCCGCTTCATCAGCACCGCCCACACCATGAGCTCATGGAAGGGGAAGGGGAAATGATTGATTTCCGGGTCATCAAGATCGATGTCCACCTCCTCTTCCCTCTTCCTAGTGGTCTTCTGTCTTCCTCGCCTCATAGGCAAGTCATCCTGAAGGCGAAAAAACAAGACCCTCCATTTATGTCAGCTCCTCTGCGTGGTGTGTAATCCAGTTTTCCAGGCACGTTCCCAAAAGACAAGAAAGGCTAATTTAGCACCGGACAAAAAAATACACACAATTTGCTTTGCAGACAGAATTTCAGCCTTTATGTTTTATGCTTTATTTGGTGTCCCAGAATTAGTGGATCTAAATACTAGTATATGTAAAACATTCCACATTACATTTTGATTTTCCAAAACCTGGACATCTGAATCAAAGTGAGAGAAGTCAACAAAAAACAACAGACTTACGATATATTGTCGAAAGAGGACAATTGAGCCATAAATGTGTTGTTACTCTGCTTGGATGTGTTTTTGTGGAGGGGGTTTGCTCATGTGGGTGAAAGGCACTTTATTCATGCCATGTATTCAAGTCACAGTTCACTGGTTGAAGTACAGTCAGGGGTCAGGCCTTCTTAAATACCAGATATTGATAAAGTATGAGAAACCCACCAGCTTGACTGGTGGATACAAACTAACAAACAGTAGTGTATATAAACGACACCTTTTAATACAAAACTTTCTAACCATATTTTGTCAGGGTTGCAGGGGAGTGAGCTTATCTTGGCAAATAACAGGCGCAAGGCAGGGTACACCCAGACAGGATGATAATCCATCACAGGGGTAGTTACGCAGATGCAAACACACTCACAGCTGCAATAGGGTTAATTTTTCCAAGATGTTTTTGGACTGCTTGGGGAAAGAGGAGAACATAGAAACTCCACCCAGCTAACACTTCAGGTCTGAAATTCAACTATGTGTGCCAGTACTGCAAAACAGCAATGCTAACCACTCGCTGCCCTCATACCAAATTACTATACTATTATTATTAATATCATGTAGACAAACTGATGTTACATAATCCATCAGCTTTTTGTACTCCGTGTGGGTTTGCCATGAACTAATGCAAGAGTTCTAATTTCTAGAAGACATTTCCGAAAAAAGTGTCTGTTTAGAAAATTATTTTATTTTGATTGTGATATTCTGAATGTAATGATTGTGTGGACGGACTTTGCTAAGGTAGAACCAAACTATCGGATTTCTACTATACCTAGGTCCCTTGTTTTCATTTAAAAAGCTTTACATCAAGCTGAACAGTTAATAATGCTTATTATGTGTATAATAAGGATGTGACTACTCCTTCTTACGTTTATTGGTGATCTTGTGCTAGTCGTCATCTACATATAATATTAAAAGAATTTCCAAATTTCTCAGCAGCAGGTTGCGATCTTGAGCAAGAATAGCACTAATCAACGAGTTGCAGACAATTAATGCAGCATACGAAAAGCATAACATTTTCAAAAGATCTGTAGCCCCCCACCACCACCACTGAACTAGCCAAAATGGAAATTCTGCAGGTCAAACAATCCAGTGTCCTTTTTCAGGGGTAACATGCCCATGTCTTGTTCAATTTCTTTGCATCTCCAGGTCTGACACAGCGATAATTAAACTGCATTCCATTACTGAAAACCGTGCAGGGAATCCAATGAAACTGAAATGCTGTGTGGAGGGAACTGCCACAGCTACTAATGTATTCATGAATTGAAGTTCAATTTAAATTTCAGTGTAAAAAGGCATGGATCCTCATAATATGCATGATGGTACAGCATAAGCTGTTGAAAACTGAGCTATGTGGCTGCCAAAGCATTACATTGACAGACTAATGTGTAACAGAGCAGAATATACTTTACAAAGCATTATTTTCCATTGCCATTAAGTCTTCAGCTCCAGTCAACATACCTCCATTCCCAGTAACTTCAGAGCCTTTGGCTGTAAGAAATAAGAGACAGAGTTCAGACCTCAAAATTGCAGGTTTATTATGATATGAAAACAGTGAATGCTGAGGCTACATGCTGTACATGCAAACTTGAATGATTCAAACTGCGAATCTCTGGTTTCAATGGTTACAAGGTACTTATAAATACTATATAAATATATATTTCATTTATTATAATTGATAAAAAGTTACCAATAACTCAATTATGACTGTCAGATGAGTCCTCATATTAATGAAAAGGAAAAAATAAGCAACAAGAAACCCCCTCATAATCACAATGTCAGCTTCAAGCCATCCAGGTCTTCTAACTTATTGAACGTATCTAGCCTTTATTTGCAGAACTCCTCTTCTCAGTACATTTTTGGGAAAATCATGAAGTCAAATGGAGTTTTATTCAGATTTTTAGAGGAGGTCAAAACCCAGTCTCACCCACTTACCTGCTTATTCCCACATATAAATATTTCTCGTTATTCACTTACTTGCTTGTGTGAGTTTTGATTTTCATTCCCTCCCTCCATCCCTTTTTCACCCGTGCAGCACCTCTCCAGATTATCTCCCAGTAAACCTACTGGAAGGGTCGGTTCTGACAGTCCCAGCTTTCCAGATGGGTTGTCGTTCTCCTCAGCTGAGTCACCCCAATAATATTCAAATATGATCGCATCTCTTTTCTAAAGTAATTACAGTGTGACCGAACGACCGAATTTGTCTTCCTGGGATTCCAGGATGTCCAACAATTTGTCAGAACTCCCTCCCCCAACTATTACACTCATGAAAAAAAAAAAACAAGGCACTCACTCTCTTGGGGCCGAAGAGATTGTGGTAAAGAGTTCGAAATCTTTTCCTTGTGTAATTGCAGCGATATGCTCCTCCCATTAAATATTCAATGACAAGCCCGATGTCGATCAGACTGATCCTGTAGTCTGGAGGAAGGTTCCCCTAAACAGCGACAAGCAGTTCAGTTCAAGCTGGATTCGCGAAACCACCTTCTTATCTTTAACTTGATAGAGAACGTCACAAAAAAGAACTTTGGTAAAAAGAAATATGTTATTAGCTGATTCACCTTGAAATAGATCCAACCGAACCCTGGATATTCTTGCTTGGAAAGAACACATAGGGTAAGTAAGAAACAGTAGCACAAAAAAATTGACATTTTTCACAGTAAAACCCTGCAAAGATCATTCTCAGTAGAGTCACCCTCATGGAATCTGTTAACAGCTCCATTGACATTTGACACTGACTGACAATAGAAATTTACAGTCCACTCGTATCTTCATTTTAAGATCTGTGCAGGGTTTTAGTGTTATGTATTTGGAAAATTAAACTGAAACTTAACTTAATGTAAACAGAAATACGTGAAGATGACTTTGGAGCTATGACATCTAAAATAATGAAATGCCTCAGAAAAGAGAAGCCAGAATACTTTAGACACTTGGGCTGGCATTTATTCCCCTACCATAGCACACCAATCACAAATGGCATCAGAATTGTGAATTAACGGTGGCCTCAGCTGTAACACTTACATAGTGGAGATGACAAAAAGGTCTTGAAAAGCGCAAGACATTTTTAAAATTATTTTGAAAAGAGCCAAACCAAACCAAACTGAAGAAGACAGTATAATGAATTCACCCCAAGTCTTATAAAGATTTCAAGCTACAAGCAAGAAGAACAAGTAATAGGTTTATTCCATGCTGAAAAAAAGAAGAAAGAGAACACAACATTTCGGCCGTGGAGCCTTCTTCAGGTGTGAGCAGGCCTGAAGAAGGCTCCACGGCCGAAACGTTGTGTTCTCTTTCTTCTTTTTTTCAGCATGGAATAAACCTATTACTTGTTCCTTTGCAGCCTACGCATGCTGACGCAGCTACCCACCTGAACTACTACCGCCTACAAGCAAGAAGTATCATTCCTACTGTTAATAAACTTGATTACAAATAACTTTGTTCAGTGTTTAGTTACATTAGTTACATCATTTTTGCTCCCCCTTAAAGAGTAGCACTGTACAACCAACAGATTAGACTAACAATATTGTAAAACAACAATTGTTCACTCAGAAAACTGCAGAAGAAATGCTTACCACACAAAAAGACTCAGTTCAGTGCAAAGTCAATCTTAAATTCTTTTGAATATGCATTACAGTGTCTCTACATTTTTTCTTAGTCAACTAATTAAATTGAAGCAAGATTGAAATAAAGTGGATTTTTGAATGTGCAGTAATTAAGCACCGCAAAGAAAGCTCCATAGAGTAATGGTATAGACTGCCTTATGCATTGGCCTTGCCTGGTAAAGGTTTACCAGGTTTACCTTACCTGGTAAAGGTTTTTCAAACCAATAGATAGATACTAAATTCAAATTCAAACCTTAAATAGGTTGCTAGACTACTTTAAATGTGATTTTACACTAACTGAGGAACATTTTGAGACATTAATTTCAAGCTTGCTTCAATTTAATTAATTAATTAAGAAAAAATTTAGAGACACGGTAATGCATATTCAAAAGAATTTAAGATAGATAATAAACATCCAGTCATAATGAAAACCAACTCAGAATTAGTACACACATTTTTTTGCTAACTGCACCTTACATCCACTTTCAGCTGTGAACGTGGAATGTTTGTTGGGGTCTTTGGTGCTATTCTTCTTTCTTGAATGATGCTTCAGTTTGACGCAGTAACTGTATTTTTACCTTGGTAGGCAAATTCAAATTTTGAAATTCTCTTGAAGCTGGGATGTAATGCAGGTGTACCACATACAGTATAATACATTTTATTTTATAGATAAAATGCAGCTCATCTCAAAATGTTGCTCAGTTAGTGCAAAAACACTTTTAAAGTAGTCTAGCAACCTATTTAAGATTTGAATTTGCTGTCAGTCAATACAGGTGGCCTCTTAAGGAATATTTAACATTTTGTGGGAAGTATTGAAAAGGCAGTCATACGAGCAGGGACTTCATAAAGCGTTCGTAATCTTTGTGGGATGTAATTTTGACCAGTCATTCTGAAATATGATTAAGTATTTCTGTCCACTAACATTCATTGAGTGGCGGCTGGATTCAACTGTTTTTCAGTACAAGAAAAACATCTGATAATAGTAAAGTATTTATAGTATATTAAAATATACCAAAGTTGGCCTGGCCACTAAAATATCAGATTGGTGGCAACTATTAGATAATTAAAACCTCATGCATCAGTACATTTGTATGCTTAAAAAACATCAGAAAGATGGTGTCTTAAAGAAGTCTGGATTATTGCAAGTCGTTTTTTTTGTATGTATGTATGCAGTTTTACAGGGAAACACAGTAACAGTAGTTTTTTTAAGGACAGAGGCAGCAACTCATACTTGTGCATACAGCCTGAAGCAAGCCACCATTTACAGCAAAGACTTCTGCAGCGATGTACGATGATGAAGACAGAGGAAACGGCAATATTACAATGTCCCGGCACTGTAAACGGATCACGTGACAGACGGTGCCACAGAACGTGACGGAAGCTGGCCAAGGCGCGCGACAGGTCAGACAAAAGCAACCGAGCAATGATCGTAAATGTCTCTGTTGCGAATAATTATAATATAATAATCATAATAATAACGAAATTCAGCAAAAACAAAGACATTTTTCAAGATTTTGTGTAAATGTGTATATAAATACGCAGACGACATCATGACACCGTCAAAGAAGAGTAAAATCAAATGCATTATGCATATATTGCCAAACAAAGTCCATTAGTGGCACATTATGCTCACAGCTTCTGTTGCATAATGCCGTTTTTTCTAAATCCCGTGTAAAAAAAGAAACTCTCGTCTTACACATTCCTTTTTAAAAAATATAATATTGTTAGAAAGATACAAACCAATGAAAAGCATTTTTTATATTACTGGACATATATCTATTTCTTCTACTTATATAAATAGAAAAATGCAAGCCATGTATATTGATGTGCAAAGTGAAGAAATAGAAGATTGTTCAGTTAATCATAAAGTAAGAATTGTCATAATAGAGTTCAGCTGAAGTAAGATACAGGGTATAATCTAACCAGAAAACAGACTAATAAACCTCAAATTAATGCTATATTTTTATACCTTCTTAGTGAATTGTAAGTATTTCATTAATGTATTTTGATGATTCTCCATCTGGATAAAAACTCATGCACTGAAAAGCAGCCGTCTGTGGGGAAATGAGCAGAACTGACTGTTTCTCAAACCTCAATGCAGAAGCAGCCCAAATGGAAACAGTGTGTGTAATGCCTTATTCTAAAAGTCATAAAAAGGTTAAATATTTACATGAAATGTAAACAAAAAACCACAATTAATTCTTCTTCAACAAAAAGCAAGTGCTGTACTGAAACTGTGTATCACTGAACTGGCTTAAATAACTATCAGGATCAGAAGTCTTCAGACACTAGTTAGATATTGGATATTCAGTGTCTACTGACTTTTACATGTTAAAGACTGACAATTAATGAGTTTGTGTATTATATGTATCGTATATGCTGCATTGAAACCTTATTTATGACACTCAGAATAAAGCATTACTTACTTCATCAGACTTGAAGAAATCATGGTCAGGCTGACCAGAACTCCAGACATTTCTACATTTTTGAAAGAGGAGGCTCACTATCAGCCAGAAGCAATAGGCAGCAAATAAACTATGATACTGTGCATGGAAGCACCATGAATGACACTGTGAGCACTCCAAGCACACGAGGATGTGATAAATCCTACCTTTTTGACGTCTCTGACTAGATGGTATAAAGTGTTTGATGGACCATGTCTCTAAAAAAACAAAGCGAAGGAAAGAACAATATCACCATTCAGGACGCTGACTAATTGGAATCATGGTATACATGGCTATGCTATTGACTAAACCAAGAAAATGCACGCCTTCTTCAGATACAAAGGGTTGTATAGATATATACAGTTTGTAAGACTAATCTTTAATTCCCCAGATAATACCCAAGTGTACAGTATGTGATTGCGTTACACTTTTATCAGGGCGGTAATTCATTTTCCATCTGTCCATTCATCTTCTCACCACTTTATCCAGTACGGGGTCTCAGGGGAGCCACAGCCTATCCCAGCAAGCACCACACACAAGGCAGGGTACACCCTGGCCAGTGACGCCAGGGCTCACACTCACACCACGGCCAGTTTTCCCAGAAGCCAATTAACCTTACCTGTACGTCTTTGGACTGTGGGACAGAACCAGAGCACCCAGGGGAAACCCACACAAACAAACACAGGGAGAACCTACAAACTGCCCGCAGATAGCACCCCAGGTCCAGAATTGAACAAAGGGCCACAGTGCTGTGAGGCAGGAATTAAAAAACCACCGAGCCACCGTTCGCACCCCAGCTGCAGTCCCATGGAATTCAATTGCACTGGAGAACAGATCTAATTGCTATCAAAAGTGCTTAAAAATATAGGGTGTAATAACAGACAATGAGCGTGAGAAGCAGGTTACAGTAACTATTTCGAAAATGGTCTTGGGTAGCATAGACAAGGCTTTCTACTGCTGAGATCCACATTTATGCTAATAGAAACGATATTTCCGCATGTTTTTTTCTTCAGATTCGAGCTCTAAGGCTGGATAATAGTGGCAGCAAGCCATTACAGCAGAATTTGCTCAGTATGCTAATTTTATTCCTGTGGTTTGGTAGATTTCCTCTGGGGGTTTGCTCAGAGGCAGAAGCTGCCGACGCTGGTCTTTCAAATGGACTTAATGATGTGGAGCGGATTACTGCAATACCATGAATAACATAAGTGATTTCAGTTCAGTGGTCTACCGTGTTGTACAGTTCCTCAAGCCTGGAGATGGTGAGGAAGCGATGCATGCTGACCCCATTCTCTATCAGCAGCTTCACAAAATCCACTCTGTCTAACACCAGGGCATCAAGCATGGACTGCTCTAAGGATCCCACCTGTGAACCAACACAGCTGGTTACGTTTTCCATCTTCTTTACATTTACTTTCTTCACATTTTCAAAATTACAAAAGCATTTATAACACTTGCATATTAATACTGTTTCAAGATAAGAATGAAATATATTTATAGGATTATAATACGAATAAGTAAGCAATAAGTAATATTTTCTTAAATCTGAGAATATTATTTTTTGGTGCCATCCATTATTTTGTTTGTTAATACATGCTTGTCAATCAGTTGTGTACAGCTTTGGGAAGGATTCATCCCTAACATTCAAGCATTTTTTGAAACCAGGGAAACTAATGCAATTTAATCCTTCTGGCAATACTGAAGGATTCTGAAGCGTCTCTAAATGTTTTTTGGAATTATGAAGGCAGATGGCCAATCATGTTTCAAATTCTTTAACCAAGGACTTGATCTGAAAATCTAAAAGAAGCTGTCAATTCTGAAAATCACAGTGTGGAGTTATGCATTACCGGCCACTGTTGTCCATAAATAAAGATCTGACTGCGGGCTATGTCCACTCTGTTCCAGGCCAAGGCTAAGCTCAGCTGGTCTGGGGCAGAGGCATTTGCTCCTGCAGAATGACAGAAAAAGAAGGAGGAATTCAGGAAATGATTAATGGAAAAAAACAGGAAAATTCATTTTTTATTAATTTTTCTGGTGACTATTTGGAATTAAGCGAAGCTGAATTTTTCAAAGTAACCCCTCCTGATAAATTGAAACAGATATAAAATTAATATTGTCTTCAATATTTTTGTATTATCTTTTTCTCCTAAAACAGGTCATGAATTAACTAGATCCCTTAACTTAAAATCTTTAAAAATGAAGATAATGTGCAATTCATTTTTTCACAAGTTTGGACAAACACAGAACGTTGTTAAGTCATTTCAGCCTTCAACTGTTGTTCATAAGTGGCTCTGGAGAACATTTTTTCATTTTCCATTCAGTTTTTCACAGTTCTGCTTGTGCAGCGTGCATCCTGTCAGAGAGAATTGGGCCATTTAAGATGTGCAAATAAGTGACTTTAAACATGCAAAAGACCATACAGTGTGAACGTAACCAAACACTGTACACTGACTGGGAAAAAAAATTAAGTGTATTTTAGCAGAACACCATTATTTAGCGAGACAATAATAAATGGGAAAGGGAGACACGTTGCACTTTCTGAAAAAACTAACAGAAGTGATGAAAAACAAAGAAGCTGAATGGAAAAGAAACAAGGAAGAGAAAAGGCAAAATGATTTAAAGGGCTACACTAAATGTCAAAGGATACAAAAAAGAATGTAATGTGGGAAAAACGGAAGAATCAGAGCACACAGAACAACATGTTGCAGAGCATGAAAGAGGTGAAGCAATACAATTGAATATAGATGCAAATTTGTATTTCAGTTCTTCAGCCAGACCCTAACTCAGCAGCTCTGTCAAATACTTGACATTCTAACATGATGAGAAAATGAAAATAATGGGAGAGCGTACTTAATATTTCAATGTTTGGCACTAATTCACCTGGCTGAGGGAATGACAGCCCTAGCCGTTAGGTGTTATATTAAAAAATCAGGAAACAACATAAGATCTTGAACGCTGCCTTCCATTTTTAAAATCAAGATCCCATTCTGTTTCAGATTGACCAAGATGTCAGTATCAATCTTTATTTTAATAAATCTAATTGTGGAAAAAATATAATTAATACAAAGATTAAGTATCCGCTTCTCTTCCTAAAAACAACATGAAAACATAATTCTTGGTGAGTTTCATATTAAAGTACAGCCACTACTTATTTTCAATGCAATACTACAACTAATCTTGCTCATGTGTGATCTTCAAGATATGTTCTATGTGTGTGCAAATATGAAATAGAATGAATATCTCTTAAATTGAGATTTTGCAAAGTAAACGAGAGCTACCTGAGCTATATGTTATGTTCAGTTTAGAGGACACATCCTAGCCTGTTACCCTACAGCTAAAAAAAAACACATGATTTTTGAAGACACTCGTCTCTGGAGGCCCTGTGTGCATTAGACCCAAAGCAGCTGTCAGGGTTGTTCTCTACAGTTAAAAAATGGAAGAGAAAATTGGAGAAGAGGTTTCTTATGCTCCAGTTTACTTAATCCTCAAAGGTAATGTGTATACTCAAATTCACAAAAATAAAAAAGGTTGTTTTAAAAAAGTTTTGAAGAAAAAGTAAAATGAGGATAATATGAACAGCGAAATCATTAATTATACAAAATCTTTTTCCTCTGCTAATACAGTACATTGTTCTCTTACTCTCCTGCGTGTCTTTAACATGTTTGGTTATACACCTTATGCAGTATGCAGATTTATTTATACAACTTGATTATTCACTAACATTGGTCATGTAATTTCAGCATCTCCATATTGAATGTATGCTAGACAGAATGTGATAGATTATATATTTTAACCACAGTAAAAGGTCTTCTCATTTAAGCACAAGTGTTGCTTTGCGTAAATAGCTGGTTACTGCTCTACAAGACATCAGATGCTGCTACTATTTCATGACTCTTGCTAGTTGCTATATAGACTGATTTACAACAGCAGCTGGGCACTGAGGTAGGACAGGGATTTTTGCTCAGGTCTGCTCTCTGGGACCTGCTCCTCTCTATAATTCCAGTGCAGATACAGTGACTTTTATGTCAGTTGAGACAGAGAGAGTGTTTCAAATCTCAAGCCCCGTTCCTGTAAGTCTCTAACCATATGTTACACGAAGCTGTGATGTGCCAAACCAAGGATCTTCATTATGAACAGTCCAAGCTGCAATACCGACAGTACCTGAGCAGTTTGCTCTGCGTCTGGGGACATACGTTAACAGCTTGTACTCTCCCTGCACTCTTACACGTTCATTAGTCTGGAGCCACTCTCTGGAATTTAGTGGTTACTTTAGAATATAGTGTGTGTATATTATAAAAATGAAATAGCTCTGGCATTACTTAGGACAAAATATCTATAAAATATTACAGGCCGTTAAACTAAAGCGCAGTAACAATATTCACAATAAATATATTTATACAGTATGAAATCATACTGTAGCAGTGGAAATGATTTTAAAACTCTTCACAAATATTGTAAAGAGAAGAAAAGAAACACAACATTTCGGTTGTGGAGCCTTCTTCGAGTGTGGTATGTTGTGTGATTTACATTTCACAGAAGATATATTGGAGGAAGTAAGATGTTACCTTTCAGAAGAGCTGTTAGGATGGCCAAGTCAATGTCCTGATGTCCCTCTGACCCCATTCTGAACACAGTTATCTGTGGTTGCAAAGGCAGATATTACTTAGGATTTATTTAAGCGAATTCTCTTATGTTGTGAGCTGGCAATACCTTGGCATTTTAAAACAGAAGACCATTTTTGGTTGTATTTATTCATTGTGTTTACATGAGTGAAATAAAATCAGCTGATACTGTAGATACATGTAGAAACAACCAAATAGCTGTTTTATACTCTCAGTTCTATTCCAGAATTTATTCATGTCGTGAGAATAAAATGCACATTTTTAGAACTAAGAACACACGATACTATAACAATGACATTTTGCGTCAGTTTAAGGAACAATATACTGACTTCCACTGCAAAGGCCTAAGTCTGAAATCTTTGACACAATACTTTGAAAAGACAAAGGTTTCCACAATTTATTCGTACCTTTTCTATTTATGTTCAAACACTTGCAAAGTTCAATCAAGCTAAGTCTGTGTAATTTAGAAACTAATGAATTGTCACTATCTGGCAGCACTTCTAGTGATATTTCAATTCACTTCAAAGCTAATTATACTTTAGCTGATTTAAACCATTCTTGCCTTAAAACACCGTCTGCTTTTTTTCTGTTGGAGTTTCCTAATTATTCTGGAGAAACAAACGTAATCGCCATGTTTCAAAATAAACTGATAAATCTTCTGATGAGATGGAAATATCCGTGGAATAACTATCTTGTACATTTGAATGAATTCATCCTTTTTTCAAGATCAGTAAGAATTGGTGAACAGTGAATATCTGTTTGAGGTCTTCTGCTGGTACTACTCACAACCAGAAACTATACACAATATGTTTACTTACTCTTGAATTTTATAATTGTGATTTAGTAAAAAAAGAACAAAATTGGTACCAGGGCTAAAGCCCATTCTGGTTTCTCTAGTGTTAAGTGAGCTAGAGAGCATGTTACCCCATCCAGAATAAGACATTAGACCAGCATACAGCTGGGTAGACTGGAGAAACTGGGATCAAGTACCTGGCACAAGGGGACAACCTGTCACAATCGTTACCCCTCCTCTTAAGGGCGCTCCAGCCCTTCCTTGTTAGTTTCATCTCCCCCACCTGTTCCCTGTTCCAGCCCCTTTTCAGTTCCCCCTTAAAAGCCAGACACTGACGCTAATCCGGGCTCTGCATTGGTTCCCGCATCATGCGAGCCCAGGACCTGGATGTGCCTGGCTCCATTGTGGCCTTAGTTTCTGTTCCAGTTTCCCCTGCCGGCTCCGACCTGGTTCTGGATTTTAATCGTCGTTCGCAGATGGATCGCCTGGCCTTGGACTTTTTGCGCCGTTTTGGATTTCCCGTTTGACTCATCCCTGGATCGTTTGCCTCGGCCACACCTCCCCCGACCACCAGTGCTCCATGGACATGCCCCCCCTATTCTCATCCCCGTATCCTGCATGCTTTTTTCCCCGTGTTTTCTCACTTTATCCTGGATTGTGTCATCTGCCTAGGGTCCGAAAAGAACTCTCCCCGACACAACCGCAGTGTCTGCAGTGAACCCCCAGCCTTTCAAAGACTTACCCACCACACTGCCCTCGGTTATTTTGGTAATTTCATGATGATGATAATAATAATAATAATAATAAAAAACATTTAGACAGATTAAACCTATTTGTGTGTTCCATGCAAATTAAGTTATTTGCTTAATTAACTGTTCTCAAATCCTATACCATCATCCACATAGCAAGGGATGTTATTTGAGATAATTTACATTTGCTTTCTCAGTGGTATCACTGTTTATTTAGGCTGTTTTTTCTTAATAGAGGCATATTTCTGTGCGGTTTTAAGCAGGAGCCAGCTCAGACACCCTCTGGTATTGGATAATTAGCTGTGAAAGGAGGTGCAGGGTCCTGTGGCTGATTGCCAGAATAACTCGCTTTCAACCCTTTGCTGATTGATTGCAACACCTCCCACGGCTTTTCTTCTCCTGAAGGTGACCCAATTTGCAGTCTTTTGCAGCACGTTTATTGTCAGTTTTGGGCCAGACTGGTTTGACTTTTCATATTTTAAGACACGGCCTATACAGTATGTACTGTAGGTTAGTAACGCAGAGGTTACGACATTATGATTTTTTTTAGGTCAAAGCAAGAAACAAATGCCTTTCAAACTTCCATTCCTTCCCAGCATCATTTAATTTTTGTCGGCTCCACTATCTTAAATAAATCATGCCATCTGCAATATGAAACGTACGCCGAAAAAGCTTAGTATTAACAAGGGGCATTGATACCGGATTATCACATACAATAGCTGGGTTAGAGCCCCTTTCTCCCAGCCTTCATCACAATAAATACAGTATGATTCATAATGCCATTATCTTCCTGTCTATAGCTACAGGCTGTAGACCCTGCTGAGGCATCTGGCGGTCCCTAAATTTAATGTAAAGCACATAAATTCCACTGCACGTCCAACACCATTCTCAGGTGAAGGTAGCCTAGCCTGTTTCTCAACATCTCTCGGTGAATGGTTTGTTTCCTTCGTGTCAAGTCGAAGCACATTTTATATGCAACCTATTCCAATTGAAAATGTGATTAAAATTTCCTTACAAAGTTAGGTATTATTTTTTTATTCGGAAAACACTTCTACCCAAAGTGCCTTACACTTACATCCACTTATTCAACTTAATCAATGGCCATTTTACTGGAGCAATTCAGGTTACATGAATTAACATCAGATTTCAACTCACAAGCATTTAGTGGCAAGTCTAGAACCTTAGACACTTCTCCAAACTGCTGCCCAACCATCATTACTCATCAGGGAGGCTGGGATTATGTTTTCTTTCTGTTACCTATGAAGGAGCTGAAAACTAATTTACTAATTTACTTTGGTGCTTCTATATTACTCATATAGACCCTTTCTGGGTGTAACTGCGGAGGCAGAAATACTGTACAAGCAGACAAAGCAAAAAATTCTCAGGAGCTTCCAAAAATGTTTACAAATACATTTGAACATGTTTAAAATAAATTACTTATAATAATCATATAGCACAACAAATTCACAATATCAGCATCATCCTGTATGAACTTCGGTTGCTTTTAATTTCATTGATGAGTTCTGTTTAGATTTAAATTCATAACTCAACTTAAAGAGTTCTTTAGGTTGTATTGTGTTTCTTCTAAACTTAAACTTAGATGCCTTATCTGCCAGTAATCTGTTTTTCTCCAAATTGGAAATGCTATGTCTAAATGAATGAAACTGAACTTTGTACATCACATTTGATTTTTTCTTTTTTCTTTTATTGGTCTCTGTTTTGGCTCAATCTTCGAGACGTTTTTCAGCAAACGGGGTCTTCCCTTTGAAAATGTAATTTATATGCAAATTACAGTACATGTCATGACATACAAAGACTAGGGTGCATTACAAGACTTCCCGCTGTCGCAGAAATATTGCTGATTACCGAGGCTGAATCAGCTCTGAGGTAAACAAGGGTGGCTGTTATAAAGGTGTTTTAAGGTTCAATCAAGAACTAACCAACTACCAGATGGTGCAGAGAAGCTTTCAAGCAAACGAAAACAAGACAGTCAAAATAAAACACTGAAAGACAAAATGACATAAAATAATAAATAAAATACACATATATTTTGTGAGCCAAAATAAATGATTAAATCAACAGTTTCTTAGCAAAACTATGTACCAGGGAAATTCACCATTCTCCAAGTGTTCCCTGTCTCTGGGCTGCAATCCCTCTCGTGGCCAGCAGGTGACATTAAAGTCTGTGAATTCTCCTCTGAATGCGACACCAGCCAAGACTGTAAGCCAGGGGAACCCTCCCAGCAAGTCCTTCAAGCTGACCTCAGACCCCCCAGACCCGAAATCGGATTTAACTACAATAACTGACAATACTAACATACCAGAACCAGCGTTGCCAAGAATTGCTATAACTAACGAGATTCTGTACCCTACCGCTCTACCCGACAAGGATGAATTCTGGCGGTTTTCACATTTATGTCTATGTGCTCCATAAACTGACAGTGGTGTCAGATCTACCAAAATAAATAAAATAAAATCAAACCAGATTATGAATTGACTGTGCTAGAAAACTAGATTACGTGCATTTATATATCGTTTCTCATCTCAAAGGATCTCAGAGCGTTTTACTTAAAAGTGGCAAACCGCACTTCCTCCACAGAAAAACTGCACCACCTGGGAGATGGTCAGCATCGCCAATTTAGAGCAGTAGGAAGGAAAGGGAAAATAGCGGAACTTGAGGAAGGCAACTGCACTATTTAATCATTGTAGTTGCCCACCATTTCTTCGAAGAATATTTTTAATTCACTTCATATTCCAAGAAATCAGCACACACCGTGAAACCAACTTCAAAAATAGCTTTAAGGAAGTATTTTCCAAAAATTGGGCATGACAATATGAAACCGTGCTTCACAATTACAAATCATTACTCGTCATTAGAAATCATTAGAAAAACGCGTCAGAACTGAAAATAGAACATGTTGCGTGTTAGTATTGAATCAGCAGCAGGCAAACAGTTTCTCTTTGATTATAGTTACACTAATGTAACTTTGAGGTAATAATTAGCTTTTGAAAGCTATTTATATTCGCAAGTGAACCTAATATAAAAATATCCTGTTACTTTCATCCGTGAGAATCCTGCTTGTGATGACGGGTATTTACTCTAATTAAATACTGTTAGTGTTACGGTCACCATCCTCTCCTACAGAGGACGCTACAACCTTCTCATGTTGTTATTTTTAGTTATTAGCCGCATTATGTCCCGGTGTGCCTTGTTTTAGCTTTCCTATAGAAGTTTATTCCTTCCTGCCCTAGGCTTGGAAGGGAGTTCTGTATTTCCTGGATTCTTGTCTCGTCATTGTGGTCCTGTTTGTCTGCGTCACCTGATGGATTTCCCGGCAATGGACTTATGGACTGCTTCCATACTCCCCATTGAACTTCCTTGGGTATGTTTGCCTTCGGATTTTCCCCGCACTTCTGCACGAACTTCCCTACTTCACTGTGAGCACCAATAAAGCCTGTGTCTCTTCCCTGAACC